CAAGAAGATGGCTTGCTGACACGGTGTACTGACATCCTTTATACCCAAAGAGGCTGAGGTACAAGTGCAGATCAAAGAAGTTTAAGAAAGCAGGGAAATAGCTCCAGGCTTGGCCCGCTGGCTGACCATCGCCAGCCGCCCAGTGGCCCCGGCAGCCTAGGACCCCGCGGAGGCTGAATAGGCCACAGACCCACTGGGGGGGCTAAGATGGATCTTGTACTCAATGCTGCAGATTATTATTTTTTTACAACGTACTTCTATCCAGCCTCATGGTCTGAGGATGACATCTTCCGACAATTAGTCTCCTGACTGTAACAAAGCTTGGTGCTTATATCCTTTCTTCTTTGCAACACTGAGCTATTATTTTGTCTATGATCATTCATTAATGAAGCATCCACAATTTTTAAAGAATCAAGTCTATAGAGAGATTACGTTTACTGTCCAGTCATTGCCATGGATTAGTATTCCCACTGTGTCAGTGTTCCTGCTGGAGTTGAGAGTTTACAGCAAATAATATGATGACGTAGGAGAGTTTCCCAGTGGCTGGGTTCGCCTCTTTGTTAGTATACAGTCCTTCCTCTTTTTCACTGACATGCTGATCTACTGGATTCACAGAGGCCTTCATCATAGACTTGTGTATAAGTGCATACACAAACCTCATCATCTCTGGAAGATTCCTACTCCATTTGCAAGTCATGCTTTTGACCCTGTGGATGGCTTCCTTCAGAGTCTACCTTACCATATATACCCTTTTACCATCCCATTACACAAGGTGGTCTACTTAAGTTTGTACATCTTGGTCAATATCTGGACGATTTCCATTCATGATGGTGATTTCCGTGTTCCCCACATCTTAAGGCCATTTATTAATGGCTCAGCCCAACATACAGACCACCACGTGTTCTTTGACTATAACTATGGACAGTATTTCACCTTGTGGGATAGAATTGGAGGCTCGTTCAAAAATCCTTCCTCCTTTGAAGGGAAGGGACCACTTAGTTATGTGAAGAAGATGACAAAAGACAAGTGCAACAGCCATGCAGAAAATGGTTGTAAAAATGAAAAATTATTCAGTGGGGAGTTTACAAAGACTGAGTAGATTGTTGCCCTATTATTAAATATTATGAAATATTTTTAATGAGGAAAAATAATCTACATACATACAACCAAGAGACATAGCAAGCAAATGGTATTTGAGAGTCTGCATTATGGGTACTGCTGAGCAATGATTGTGATGTAGATCGAGGAAGGAATGCTGTGAACACCGAGATTTTAACCTCATGTTTACCATACTAGGTATTGGTCTCAAGGACAAGTCGTGTCTCTGTAGCCAGCATATCTGTAACTTGTATAGCCTCAACAACAGTTTTTATAAGGACAGAAAATAAATTATTGAGGGGACTAGGTTATGTCCTTTTGCCTTAATCCACCCATATTCATTAAGAAAAATACATTGTGCTTGATAATACCAAGACTAAGCATCATAACAAAGAAATACTAATATAAACATGGTTCCTTGTCTCAGGAATGGTTAAGTCTTCAATGTTGGTATGATAATGACTACCTGTAGTATTTTGTTCAAGTGGATACATCAGTGTGAAAAAAAAATCTGATATAACGTATTAGTGGCCAAGTAAATGACCTAATTAATAGCAGGTGTAATAAGATTATCATCTTCCTACACATAGGAAGCTTATTCTCTGGGGACATTGTCCAATATTACATTTTACTGATGAAAAAATAAACTAGAATTTTAAAAAATAAATAAATAAATAAATAAAAGAAAGCAGGGAAATAAAACAAAACAAAAAAACAAGCCTCCTGACTCAAAGAATGTTAGATTCAAAATAATATGAAAATTGACATATAAAATCAATTTATTTGCAGCTACAATGATTCCTTAAATAGGCAGAAAAGTAACTTTTTGCCTAGTTACATTAATTATACAATTAAACCTGCACAGTTCATATGCTCTTATTTTAGCAATAGTTCTCTCACCTGAAATTATCTTGGTATAAATCTATAGGTGCAAACTTCAGGATTTTTTTTTTTTTTTTTTTGTAGCCTACAAACTTTGACTGGAACAGGCAACAAATTTCAGCGATGATTTCACATTAAATTTTCTCACACCAAAATTACCTTGGGTGGATAAATCTGCAGACTAAAAAGAAGAGAAATGAGTGATGATTAACAACTAATCTGGACCAATAGAGAGGGATAAAAAGAGACATCCAAGGGGAAAAAATTAAGTTAAAAAAGAACAAAAACAATTCCAAGATAAGACCAAGCAAAAACAAAGAGAAGAATTCAACTTTGCGAAGAGAAAGATCACCATCTCTTCTATCACCTAGCATTTGAGTGGAAGCACATTCAAACAAGGCAGAACCAGACACCACCAACCCTACATGCAACCCCCAAGCCATACACTGCATAGGACATAAAAGCAATAGAAAAGAAGCCTCCTGCTCTAAAGAATATAATCTAAACCAAACCTAAGACATATGAGTAATTAAAGAATCAAACGCTGAACTAAGGATAATGAATACAACTGCAAGAGGAGTTTAAAGAAGGAAGGAAGTGTGGTGTGAAGTAATGAAGGGATACCAAAAGAAGACAGGATTTAAGAATGGAGGGAAGAAGGACAACTGTTCCAGTCAGAAGTAACTGCATCGGCTAAGTCAGAGAAATAGGAATGAACGTGGCATGTGTAGGACACTATGAGAAAAGTGGGCTCAGTGGAGCAGAAGGGACTTGCTGAAGAACAGAAGAAAATGAGGTTCACTGGATAAAGCAGAACACTAGACTACAGAAGACCTTAAAAATCAGACACACAGACAAGTGTAGACTTAAATATAGCAGCAAAAACAGAGCTGTTAAATGCCTCTACATAAGGTATTTTTAAAGACCACATTAGACAAACTCCATTCTTCGCTTGGCAACCAACTAATGTTCAACACCCTTCCATATCCCTGTATGTCTCCATATGTAATGACAATTACCCTTACTGCAGTGGGATCTTCTATTCATCTCTTCCTATTCCTTTTTCTTTTTTTTATTAATTTTTAAATTTCATTTTATCATGTTATGTTAATCTTCCTATTCGTTCTTCATTTGATTTGGCATTTAGCATAATATGCTAGCACTGAGGCCCTCTCTCTTCACCTAACATTTATACAGTGAGAAATATACAGATACAGATATAGACAATATAGATAGATATAGATCAGTTTTAGGGGATTAACTAATTTTTGAAAAGATAAAATAATCTGCCCCTTTCTAGCCCTAAAAACTTCTCCTATTTTTGGGAGATGGAGTAGAGAAGAGAGAGGCTCATTCATTCATTTTCTAAACAAAGCTTTCCTAAGTACTAACCTACTAGGTATCATCAAACTCACTTCCTTTCATAGAGCAAAAATGAATGAAGAAAAATGATAAACCTCTATTTGGGACACTTCCTTCTATTCCAAGTATTTCCAACATTTCAAAGAAAAATCTAGGTCTTTTACAAGTGTCTTTAATATTCTTCCACAGCCCCACCCACTTTCCCTTGATAATCTCTATTTTTTTCCTTCTCAATCTCAAATCATACTCATTCAATAAGAGCATTCATTTCGCAGACTTTCAACTCAGTGAAAGGGTTTCTACTACCAAACTAAAAGGGTTTTTATTCAACATATCAAGCATAAAAAGTAGCAACAACTGCACTTAAAAAAAGTTAGAAAGTGACACACATTCCAAAATGATAAATCTCAAAAATAACAAATGTAGGTGGATGAATTACTATGTCCTAAACACCCCAGCTAAAGCTACAGAACCTTAAGCTACATTCCATTGTGCAGATACGGAGACTCCACAAAGCAAACGTAACAACAATAATAAATAATAACAATAATGACAATAGAAGTTAACTACAGAAAGCAAAATACGGTACTTTTAAATCTAGTAACAAAGTCTAAAGGTGTTTTTTGATGACCTATAGTCTGGCAATAACAACCTACACTATCACATCCTTCTTCTGAAATGAATCGGTAAAAACAATGACTAAGTAAAAACAGACTCCAATTACCTTATTATTTAGCATTCTAGACACTTACCTTTTACCTACTATCTTCTATCTTCTTTTTGAATTGAATTTCAGATTGTTCCTTAACCATTATCCATCTAAATTAAGTAAAGTATGAGACAGGTAACATAAAAAGCATGATAAACAGCCCAAATGTTTAATTTTCATAATTCATAATTTAAAACACAAGAAATAATTAGGTACAATTTTCATCTTTTTTTCTTTCCCAAAATTTCTGAATTGGTCTGTGTTCCCAAAGCCTCAGGCGATGAAAGGAACTTCCATAAACAGAAAAATTCTCAAAAAACATTCCAGAAATTCAAAATACATGAACTTCAGTATAAAAAACTGAGCCAAAAAAGGTATCAACTATGTCTATGTACTTTGTTTTGAATCGAGGACAATCAACAGTACTTACTTACTCCCTATTTGCAGCCTAACTGTACTAAAGTGAACCTGTTTTAAGCCATAAAAAGAATTATAAATATGTAAAATGTTGCCCACATCATGTAACTAGATTAATTTAAAATCTAATGAAAATAGAGAAAACTTTCTTTAAATGTCAAAAACCCAGCTAAATAACCATCTGAAATATTAACACAAATTCTCCATGATATAATCCTAAGTATCTTTTGATGGGATCTCTGAAATAAATTCCGTCAAACAAAATTAATCTAGAATGCTTCATGGAAAGAATGGAAGTGATTTCAAAAAACTGAATTTAAAAAACAGCAATGCTACCTTAAACTAGGAAATGAACAAAATTTAGGTGAAGCAGGTGGGGATGAACAAAAAAGAGAAAGTAAGCTTACTGGACTGAAACATGACTGGCAATATGCTTAAAATAGAATGGTTAGTTCCATAGAAAAGGGTCTTACTGTTAAGAAAATAAGTATTGTGGCCTCCTGTCCTCTTTCCACCATCTTTCCATGCTGCCGTAATGGTGCACATGAATGTCCTGGCAGATGTTCTCAAGAGCATTAACAATGCCGAAAAGAGAGCCAAACACCAGGTTCTTACTATCCCATGCTCCAAAGTCATCATCCAGTTTCTAACTGTGATGATGAAGCATGGTTACATTGGCAAATTTGAAATCACTGATGATCACAGAGCTGGAAAAATTGTTGTGAACCTCACGGGCAGGTCAAACAAGCGTGGAGTGATCAGCCCTAGATTTGATGTACAACTCAAAGATCTGGAAAAATGGCAGAATAATCTGCTCCTATCCTGCCAGATCGGTTTCACTGTGCTGACAACCTCGGTTGGCATCATGGACCACAAAGGAGCAAGACGAAAATACACAGGAGGGAAAATCCTGGGCTTCTTTTTCTAGGGATTAATACATACGTGCAAATAAAATGCCTCAATGGAAAAACAAGTACTGTGATCCAAACAATGTTTAAAAAAGTAAAATAAAAGTTAAAACAAGAAGGATAATGAGGGAAGGTAAAACAAAAGTAAAAACCTGACTCTATCCATTACACTAATTTTTTTAAGCCCCAAACCAACCTGATTGTAATTACTTAGTCACTTCAACTCTGTTCTTAGAAAACACCCCAGGTTTTGTCAGGCCCTTCATTCTGCCATACCCACCCGCCAAGCCAAAACTTAACCTTGTTCAGAATATGCTTAGGATGCAGATACATCTAGGTTCAAGTACAATCTGAACTTGGACATCTTACTTCACCACTCCAAGCCTATTTCCTCATTGATAAAGTGAGGATTACATCACTTACTTGATATTTGCATAAATGGAGTGCCTGAACAAACATAAGACACAGTTGACCCTCAAACAACATGGGCTTGGAGTCCACTTATACATGGATTTTTTTCAATAAATGTATTTTCTGTACTGTCAATGTACTGTAAATGTATTTTCCCTTCCTTAGGATTTTCTTTCTTTCTTTTTTTTTTTAAGATTTTATTTATTTACTTGTCAGAGAAAGAGAGGCAGTGCATGGGAGGACAAGCAGGGGGAGCTGCAGCAGAGGGAGAAGCAAGCTCCCCACTCAGCAAGGAGCCCAATGTGGATGCGGGGCTCGATCCCAGGACCCTGGGATCATGACCTGAGCCGAAGGCAGACGCTTAACCGACTGAGCCACCCAGGCATCCCTCCTTAGGATTTTCTTAATAACCTTTTCTTTTCTCTAGCTTACTTTATTGTAAGAATACAGTATATAATACATATAACATAGAAAATAATGTGTTAACTTTATATTATCTGTAAGGCTTCTGGTCAACAGTGGGCTATTAGTAGTTAAGTTTTTGAGGAGTAAAAGTTACATGTGGATTTTTGGCTGTGTCGGCACCCCTAACTTCCACATTGTTCAAGGGTCAACTGTATATTAGTTCTATTCTCCTTATAGATACTGCCACCCTCTCAATCAACTTCACTTTTTTTTCTATTCCTAATTCACATGGTTACTACAAACTTTCTCTACATATTTAAAATCCCCAATCCCTCATTCTTTGATCTCTCAAGTAGTAACCTTCTTGCCAATGTTCTTCAAAAGATGGCTATCATCAAACACAAGTATCCTCTTTGAATTATGTGAATACTAGTCCAGAGTAAATCCTGCAAAAGAGACCACTCCATCCTCTGAATCACTGAAACATTAGTTGAGCTATTCACTTAAACTTAATCGATATTTTTTACCATTGCTATATTGATATGCTCTGGTTCCCAGGTTAATAAAACCCGAAACAAAAGTATTATATCTTTGGAGTTCCTTACATATTCAACACCTATTGAGTAATATGTACTCAATAAATGGCTGATTGTCCAGCTCCCAAAGCCTACTCTAAACATTTAGTTTCCCCACTGCCAAAAGGAAGTAATTCTGTTTGCTAAAATGAGAAAGGAAGAATCTTTTTTTGTGTATCAGCTCACATAACTTTTTGCACCATCTCCCAATACTTTCCACTTTACATCTTTGCTTCTCTCATTCAGCCTGTTCACACTGCTTCTATCTACTCAAACGGTACATGTAAATTGAAGGCCAAATTCAAGCATCAAGCATAAAGCCTTCTCAGATGAATCTCACTAGTCTGAACTTCTAACATTTTTAATCTAAACCAACATTTCCAAAAAGTATTCCAAGGAATAGTAACATGCTTAAAACTATTAACACACCATCTAGTAATTTTGTGAATGCTACACATTATATATCTCACTTTTTTTTAAAGTCATTCTAAATATATATTAGCACACTAAAGACCCTGAAAAGTCCAATAGACCCAAAGATAGTTTAACCTAACATTTCTAAAACTTACATTACTATGGAACATTTATTTTAATGAACAGCAATTAACATTTTGAAGCACATTAGCATTCTCCAAAGTATAATTTGGGATATTCTGGGTTTTGTTTTTGTATGTTTGGAAATTAACTATATTTTTGATGTCTCTTATACTGTTATTAAATCTACAGGGGTGTGAGTGTGTTTGTTTCCCAGAAGTAAACTGGAAGTTCCTTAGGAGCAAAGACTACTTCTATTATTCTCTTTTATTTCCTACAGCGTCTAGTACATTGTAGATAATCAACAAATATTCACAGAATCACAGATGGTAAATACTGAATTTATTCCACATAGTCACTAACTTCACACTTAACCTCGTTTTCCTAAGGCAGAATTTAGTGCTGCGGGTATATTGGACGTTAAAAGAACTGCAAAGAATCAAAATCTATACCAAGACCTTTCAATTGAAAACCTTTCTAAACTGCAGTTAAGTATTTCACAAAAGCAATCTCTAACATACAAATCTTTAACTGATGATTTAAACATACATGTAATAGATCACCTACCCTCAATGCAAAACATACATAGGCATGAACACCCCTCAAAAGTAACTTTTCAGATAGTTACTGATTAGCAAAAATGCTTTATGTCCAGAAAAGAGTGACCAAAATAATGAAGAAACCTGCAATTATATAACTAGCTGAAGGAAATTGGGAAGTCCTTGGCAAAAAAAAAAAAAGGTGGAGAAAGAGGCGAAAAGGGTTGCTGAAAAGGATTACTTGCATAAAAATGAAGAGAAATGGACCAAAGAACGATTAAAAGTAGAGGAAGGCTGACTTCAGCTCAAAATAAGAACTGTTAATCAGACATGGCAAATGTGGAATGGGTTACTCATAGGAAGTACATTCCCATCACTAGAGATAAAAAAGCACAGACTGGACAATTCACTTGGCAGGAATGTTGGGACAAATTGAATGTCAGATGGGTAGTAGGACTAGAAGCCCCTTAGAGTCTTCCAGTGCTATGTCTCTGGGGCCCTAAAATACCCATCTTGCTCCAACTCACTGCAGCACCTGCTCCCACTGACACTGCCAAGGGGAAAGAGGAAAAAAAGATGTGTCCCTGTCATTCTGACTGGGAACTCAGAATACATGCCTTGTGAAAACAAAGCCAGAGAGAGTAAACACAGTTCACAGAAATAGTACCACACTACAGATGAAGTTAGATATATTTTTTACAAACCTAAAAGTCAGTCAACAATGTTTCTGTGGTGAAATGCTTTCCACACTCCAAATTAACTCAAAACAAATTTTTGAAACATAACCTGATCATGACGCCGCTTACCTATATTATCTCCCATGCTATAAGGCTGCAGTTTCACGTATGTTAGCTTTGTTTCCCTAGAGTTTAAGTTCCTTGCAGACAGGAACTATTGTTCATATATTTGAACGCTCACAAAGAGCTTTAGCATGCTTCTTGATTAAGAATTTGTCTACACTAATAGAGTTTAAGCTCATCAGAATGTCATGAAATGTTATGATTAACTAGGGACAGAGGACTGTAGTGAGGGCAGACTACTAAAGTTCAAATCCTGCTCAGACTGGCTCCCTGTGTAATCCTGGGTAAATCATTTAACCTGTCCAAGTCTCAGTTTTCCTATCTGCAAAATGGTCAAACTAAGGATTACAGAAAATATTAAAACTGAGTTGATTTTATGTTAGGTACTGCAACTCCTCCTTTTACTGTCAAAATATTCATATGACAAACGTGATAAACAAGTTATATATCTGAAATTATGATAATGAAATGAGAATTTGGCTCTGGGGCAGAAATCCGCTTCTTCCAGAATTCTCCAAAGTATTCAACAGTCAAGTGAGACCAGTGATTTTTCTGCAGCAAAACAATGATATTTTGAACCTGTCAATTAATCGAACTCCTCACACAGCTCAGTCATTTCTTCCTTTAAGAGGCTGTTCGGTTTCTCTCCTTTGCACTCTGAAGGCAAGCTGCACCTAAGCTCTTCCCCATCTAGAACATGAAACTGACTGACTAGGCCCCGTTCCTCACGCCACCGGAGCATGATAAATCCTTACTGCACTGGCAGTAAGATGAGGCAGGCTAGAAATTTCTTTGGGGGAATATATTCAAGGAGCCCCACGAATCCACATCGCACCTGAGACAGTCCAGCCAGAGGCCCCACAAAGAACCGCCCAATCTAACTTAAGTGACAGACGCGCTGCCACCTCATCATTGCCCAGTTCATGGTCCTGTCTAATACTCGCCCATGCTTGCGCGGTACAAAATAACCAGCCCTGGCCCCTGACCCTTTCTCTCTATAGGTACCATTTCAATCGCGTATTGGCTCCAACTTCTGCAAAAGCGACAGCGACCCTAACCCACCTGGGACAAATGCTTCTCCTCCAAACGCCAAGGCTAGAGGCCGAGCGCATGCGCATTCCCCAGGCATCGTTCACGTGACTGGAAGTGACTGAAGTTTTAGTTCGCTCGGTATTTGCTTAAAAGGTCTAAAGGGGAATTCCCCCTTTGCGCATGTGCCTACGCCCAGCCTGCTGGGAATTGTAGTTCTGTGGGTAAAGCGCTAGGAGAAACCTAAACTGTGTGGTCCCCGCCCTCTTTCCAGAGGCGTTCCTAAAGGGAGGCGGCAGGCCGATCGCCCAGCGTTTCTGAACCGCTCTCTGCAATGGTGCTGCTGTGGGTGTCGGTTGTCGCAGTCTCGGCGCTGGCAGCACCAGACCCCGGGGCAGGTGGGCAGAGGCGAGGAGCTGCTCGGGTTTGGCCCGCTGCACCCAATGTGGTGCTAGTCGTGAGCGACTCCTTCGTAAGTACCGAGAGGCAAGAGAGTGGGCGTCCCGCTCCAGAGTAGCGACCCGCCCCCAGCTTTTCCTGTGCCGCAGGCTTTTGGGAGCAGAATCTGAGAGCTCCATATACACCCCGTACATATAAAACAATCGAGTAAATGAAATGTATCTGATAGCACCTTTGCATTTTTTTTTATTGCTGGGCTCGACCCACTAATTTTATCACTACTAACGCACTTTCAGTCCGTACCCCCGTTTGAGTCTATTGTGGGGAA